TACAGTAACATTCACAAATTTGAGAGATTGGGGCTACCACAAAATGCCTTTCCATGTGTCCTTCTTCCTCCTAAAGGAAAGTGTTCCCTCTGAATATGGCACTCCAGGAATGACCAGCACGGAGTGACACAGGATTGCCACCTTCATCTTTCCAGATCCTATCCTTCTAATATCTGAACTAAAACCCAGAGATCACCTACATCACACCTCTCATTCTTATCAGGCCATGAACTAAAACCCCTAAGCCTTAAAAACAGTTTTTTAAGCCACTCCTGCCTATCCTTTACTAATCCCACGTATAGGAATTTGTGTCTTTCTATTCAATTTCATTTTGTTAGGTTTTTTTTTTTTCCTATTCTTGAGATCTTTATGGATCTCAATTCTAACATTCAACCTACGCTCAGTTCTTGTCGTGCACACCTGTAGTGAGTGCTCTCAGTATGTCATCAATGACCTGTAGTGAGTGCTCCCAGTATGTCATCAATGACATGTAGTGAGTGCTCCTAGTATGTCATCAATGACATGTAGTGAGTGCTCCCAGTATGTCATCAACCAGGAACAGGACAGGGTATGAAGCGAGTTCCGCAGCACGTCAGGAATCTGTGTGAAGTCCCATGGTTCTTACGTTTCACTGTGTGCATCAACTGCTGAGAGGCTTCGATGCCCCATCTCTAGAGATTCTGGTGTAGGAGGCCTGAGACAAGGCCCAGCAATCACAACCTTCCCCCAGTGGGTTCCAGGTGGTTGATCTGCAGAGTACATTGGGAGAAACACCCTCCAGGTCCATACCGATCATTAATCAGTTCCTCTTGGGTATGGCCAGTGGCTCAACCCACCCAACCATCGTCACATCCTGCTCCTGTTCCTGCCACTTTCAGGTCATTATCATGAGAAGGAAACCTAGTCAGTGACTAGCTGACTTCCAATGAGACCGGTGCTACTATATTTCCCTGCTCTACCAGTCCTGCTACCTGTTAAAAGGCAGGAAAGGTTGCAGACTTGATTTGTTCTTAGCAAACCTGTTTGATGTGTTGACATCAAGGCTGCCTTATTTCTCAGTGTCCATCATTTTATTCTTTAATTCCTAATCTAGAACCTTTATTGCTTGCCAGGGTTTTAGGGTCAAGCTCACCAGCCCATACAGTCCTATCACATTCACGTTTGAGAACCACTCCTTTAGGAGAAGTAACTGTTCCCATTCAAAAGCTGTCCAACGCTGTGCTTTTAGCAAACGTGATTTCCATCAAGTGCCTAAATACTGGGAGTCCCTTATGGTACATATATACATTAACCTGTGTGACTACTTTATGTATGCAAGTCATCACCTCTTCCTTAGGCCAGGGGCATGCAGCATACTTCCACTTCTCTATCTATCCCATTTCTCTCTTGCTTTAAATTCTCCTCTGAATAGCGTTTAGCATCCTTCCACTCAAAGGATCTCAATGCAGATATAATTTCTTGCCATAGCCCACTATTATATCTCTCCCTTCAAGATATCAGAATTTTACATTCAAATGGTAAGCCAAAACCCAGAAAATCACCAAAACAGTCATGAGATATTTATTATTCTCCCTTATAATCTCAACTTTATATTGTCATTCACATTTTGAATAAAGGTATTATGAAGGTATTGAAGCTCCTAAGCATTACATCAGGCTAGTTTCCATATTTGTCTTTTGTGAATCTCTGGATACTGCCTCCATTTATTTCTGCTTACCATGCCTTACTGTATGTCTAACACAGTTTCATCAATTAATCTGCTTGTTTTTCTCCTCTTCAGTAGTATTTATTCTAAAACTAACCAGACCAGCTGGTTCTTAGGAACATACCCACAGAAGTAATCCATCCCTCCTTCCATTCTCCTAAACTCAGTGAAAGATGATGATAATTAAACTAACTGCAAGCTTTCTTCCTAGGCTCTTAAATTAGTGCTTCTATGATGATAAGTAAAGACTATAGCTGTAGCCAGAAAGGGATTGGGAGGGCCAGGAATATAGAGATTAACACAAATTTAATAGCTTGATTTTTTAAAAATCCTTTACTTGAGGTCATCCCTTCCCTTGGTTCTTTTGTAATCAAGAATATAACAAATATTACCTTGCTGATAAAATATCTGCTTTCAAATCAATATATTTGTGATAAAAATTTTCTTCTTTAGAAGTGGGAAAATTGACTAAGTTGTATATTCTATTATGAAATAACTAGCACCAATCAATTCCATGTATATTAACATGTTTATTCTACACACAGACAAATAAGTTCAAAGTTTTACAAGATCTAAATTGAAAAACCACACTGTAGAAGAAATATGTCACTGAAGAAGTTACAGAACTTATATTCAAAATGCAAGAATAATCTGAAAATGTGTAATTTTTTAAAATTGGAATGTGTAACAAATTAAGTTGGTATGAAAAAGCAATTTATATCCAGTCTGGCCCATATCGTACCTTAACACCAAAGATGTAATAAAAGACAGCAATTAAAGAAACTAACAAAACATATGATAAAAGAAAATCACAAAGTGAAACATAAGCACAATTTGCTGAAAAAATCTTGGTTGTAAAAATAGTAAGATGCATATAAAATTGCATACTTTTGAATAATTATTATTCTTAAGAAATGAATGGGGGGAAATATACCACTCATTATCAAAAAAGAAAACAATGAGTCACAACACACTAATCTGTGGAAAGTATCATAATAATTCCCCAATAATAGGAATAGTCACATATTTCTACTAAATAGTCTAGTGGTTAAAAGTCAGTTACTAAGAGTAAATAGAGTGTAAGAAGAATAATTCTATTTTTTAAAATGACATCTTCTATTTCTGACATGGAATATAAATACTTCATAAGTAGCAAATAAATATTAAATCAAAATTGTTAAAATCGCCTGGCTGGGCGGGCTCAATGGTTGAGTATCAACCTATGAACCAGGGGGACATGGTTCGATTCCAGTCAGGGCACACGCCCAAGTTGCAAGCTCCAACCCCAGTAGGGGCAAGCAGGAGGCAGCCAATAATGATTCTCTCTCATCACTGATGTTTCTATCTCTCTTTCCCTCTCCTTTCCTTTCTGAAGTCAATGAAAATATTTTTTAAAGAATGTATATTTACAGTATTTATTGAGAAAAACCTGTGCAGCCCTGCCCTCAGTGGCTAAGCAGTTAAGAGTATCGGCCTGTTCACCAAAGGGTCTTGGGTTCAATTCCCGGTCAAGGGCACATGCCTGGGTTGAGGGTTCACCTTCCGCCTTCCTCAGGGTGTGTGTGGGAGGCAACCAATAAATGTGTCTTTCTCACATCTTTGTTTATATCTCCCCTGCTCTCTTCCTCCCTCCCTCTCTCTCTAAAAAACAAATAACAAAAACCTTATATAAGTGGACCTGCACAATTCAAACCTTTGTTGTTCAAGGGTCAACTGTACTTCTTATTCCTATTTTTGTTACTCAAACACTTCAACTTTTTGTGAGTCACACAGCTTTTGGAAGTCTGTTTCTCTCTACCAAAACTGAACCCTAGAGATGACCTATCTGTGAGAAACGCTTTGATGATTGACTAGAAAATGACTTTAAGTGTTTATAAACCTGAGTATATCATCATCATCCCCTTTATCCTTCCATTTGCTCAGTTATCTTGTCATCAACGAAGGCACTACTTAAAAGCATCTATTCTTGTTCACGTCTCAGCTCCTACCTATAATTTTACAAGTTTTAAATCATTCTTCAGCCTTTTAGGGGCTAATACACATGCTCACCCAAAGAAAGTGACAGTATAAGATATAATGTTCTGGGGATGCTTGGGATTCTTAACAAAAAGACACCTTATACATATAAGTAAGTGGATATGTTTAGAACTCATTGTTGTAAGATTACAGAGGGCATTCTCCCTATACTTCATATAATAGTATTAACAAAAAGTTTTATGTTTTCATGTCAGTTTTGACACACAAGAATATTACAATAATTACTAATATTATTATGTTTTTTGCTAACAAAGGAAAAATGTTAAATGAAATAGGTTATTTCTCTTTTTACCATTGACTATAAGAGGTGCTACCATTTTATATCAGAAAATAATAAAGTTCATCATAACTGAAATAACCCTATCCTAGACCATTATAAAATGCACACTTCTCACACACACACGCACACACACACACACACAAGTCTCTGGATTCCTGGTCAATTATCTTTCCTGACCACAGAGCTAATCCTCAATAAATGCCTTCTACTGAATAAGGACCTTTTACTTTTACTTATTTTTTTAAAATATATTTTTGTTGATTTCAGAGAGAAAGGGAGAGGGAGAGAGAGAGAGAAACATCAATGATGAGAGAGAATCACTGATCGACTGCCTCCTACGTGTCCCCTACTGGGAATCGAGCCCACAACCCAGGCATGTGCCCTTGACCGGAATTGAACTTGGACCCTTCAGTCTGCATGCTGACGCTCTATCCACTGAGCCAGACCAGCAAGGGCTGAATGAGGACCTTTTATAAAGATAGCAGTCCTGCCTGGCCAGTGTGGCTAAGTTGGTTGAGGGTGGTCCTATGCACTAGGTCCCCAGGTTCGATTCCTAAACAGGGCACATGCCCATTTTGCTCGATCCCTAGTAGGGGAAGTGCAGGAGGCAGTCAATGGAATGTTTCTATCTCTCCCTCTCCCTTTCTCTCTCTGAAATCAATAAAAATATATTTTTATGTTCTTCCATGCAGTGGGCTTTTTTGTTGTTTTGTTGATGGTTTCTTTTGCTGTAAATTAAATAAAAACAAAAACAAAAAAATAGCAATCCTGTGACAAATACACTAATCTGAACCAATAACTTCTTTGTTCATCCACTCACTCATTATTAAACAGCTATAATGTAATGCTTCAACCATTCAATACGTACATAAAATGTAAAAAAATGTAATATGGTAAGGAATATTTCCACATTTGTATTTTTTGAGAAACTCCCAGCATCCATTTCACATGCAGTTTCGTATGTATAAATGACCTTACCTCTCTTACTGATAGCTGTGGTGGGAAGGAGACTGAAAACACTAAGTTAGTGAATTCAAATCCAGAGGCCTCTACCTTTTGACACACCTGAAAAAGTATTACATAAAAATTATTTTTTATTACATAAAAGAGTATTATATAAATTCTCAGGAATTGTTAAAAATTGTATACTAATCTTCATAACATAGATTTTTGGTCCAGGAAATGACACTGCAAAGCTTCCAAACTTTCACTTTTGAGTAGGGAATTCTCATAAACATCATGAAATCAAATATTTGCTAACTATGACCCTGAAGACTGACATCACCAAAACAGCAAGGACTCACCTGCAGAACAATCTGCTGAATGTCAAAAATAGTTTTCTATTAGGTTACCTCATCATTTAAAAAAGAATTTAAAGTAAAGCCAGATATGGCACTCTTGACAGCTGGAAACAAAAGCCAGTCCTACATTCAAACTTGTACCTCCCACAAGGCTGTAACACTCGTCTTTTCTAGACACTAATAGGTATGACTAACACAGAACTTTTCTCTAGCTTATGTTAAAATGGCAAAGGGAAACTGCTATTTTTTTTTTCCAATTAAATAGCACTCATGACTGGCTATATATATATATATATATATATATATATATGTGTGTGTGTGTGTGTGTGTGTGTATATATATATTTCATTTTCAGATATCGTGTTGATAAAAAGGTAATTTGAGATAAAAAGGTTTTCATTATTTGAAATAAATTAAAGAAATGTCTTAATAATCCATTGGTGTGAAACATGTTGAAATGAATGACATTGTTCCTATAGATACAAGAATTCTAGGTCTGTTCTCACCAGGTGGCTCAGTTGATTGGAGTGTCATCTCATATACCAAAAGGTTGAGGATTCGATTCCCAGTCAGGGAACATATGGGAGGCAACTAATCAATGACTCTCTCTCACACTGATATTGCTATCTTTCTATTTCCCTTCCTATCTCTCTAAAATCAAGTAAGGATTAAAAAAAGAATTCTAGGTCTTAAAACTAAAAATCTCTATATAAGTGCACATATAATAACAGAAGACAGATTATTTACCTTTTTAATGAACTCTTTTTCACAGAATTCTTGAAGAATTCCTAGGCATACATTGCATACATTTGGATTGGAGTTCTTAGAAGCAATGCTTCCGTCTTCAACAACAGACACCCTTCCCTCTCCATTTTGACTCCGATTATCAGTCCCATCAATCCCATCTTCCAGTTCATGGAGTCGAATTTTCTTGGGAGGTGGGTTTGAAGCTTCCAAAATTAATTCACCTTTTTCAGTTTTCAGAAATTTCTGTAGTTCATTGAGCAACTCCTAGAAAGTTAATTTTTAACAAAACACAATAAAAGTAATAACTCTAAGGGTAAGATGAAGCATGAAAACAGGAGCGAATATTATGATATATCACACTTACCCAATGTTGATTTATATTCAATCTAGAGCAATGAATTAGTTTTATTAGCCAGCATTGGCTTTCTGGGGAATTTAAAAGAAGCTTAACTAACTCCTATAACAAATGTGTGAATATTTTTTCAAAAGAGTTTCATATATCAGAGAAGCAGAAAGGCTCCACTAAGAAATTAATTAATTAGTTAACTGGGCCTGTAGTTCTGTTATGGGGTCATTCACTCATTCACTTGCTACTTTAAAAAAAAAGAAGAAAGAAAAAAGAAAGAAAAAAGAAACCACCTTTCAGTTCCAATTATTAACAGACAGAAATACAAATGGACTTTCCATTATTGCTTTCCATTATTGGTTATTTAATAACCTCACAATCACTAAAACTTCATATGTATAATATTTAATGTGAAGTGTGAAAAATTAGAGAAATTAGGGGTCTATTAGGTAAAAGTAATTCAAGACAATTTACTAAACAAAGGTAAACAGATGCTGGAAATGCTGAGATTTGGCACCATAATTACAAAACATTTATACATGCTAATTGAAAGAGGTTCTCTTCTACATTGTGGTTTGTCTACTTTTTGTCGCCTTTTGTATTAGAATGTTAAAAGTGGCATTCCTTTGAAACCATTCTCATACTTCAGACATTTTACTCCACCAAATACTCAGAGGACTTTTCCTCTATTTTGTTTAAACAGGCTTTATTTTTCAGTTGCTGAATAAATATCCTTTTAAATTCACTTGGATTACAATGTACTGACTGTAAAGGGAAAAGTCTTTCACTCAAACAAATTTAATTCATTTTATTAAGACATTAGCTCTCCTATTTTATCAACAGAGAAATATACATACATACACATACAGGCATATTATGACCCACACAAATGTTTATTATTACCTAAGATCTACATATAACACAGTACATATATATGTATATGTACATATATAATTATATGAATAGAACAGGTCAAAATTTAAGTACATTTTTTTAAAAAAAGTCTTCAAATATTTACATATTTACACAAAATGATACAAACAAGTTAGTAACACTAAGTTTCTTAATGTTTTAAATCTTAACAACATATGCATAGCATACTAGATTATAATGTCTTTTAAAATGTGTAATAGAAGTTACACAAAACCAGTCTTGTTACTTTATAGTCATTGTGTGTATAAATAAATATACACATATATTAATCATCATAGCATATGCACCATTTCCAGTTTTCAAAGTACTTTCACATACTTTATTAGATATTGTCCCTTAAAATCCTGTGAGGTGGATGTTATCATCATTCCCAATTACAGAGGAGAAAACAGAAGATGGAAAGTGGTGGAACTGGGATTCAAATCCATGTCTTTCATCTCCAAATTCTAGGCTTTGGATTCAGACAGACAGTTCATATCCTAGCTTGCTCACTTAATAGCTGTGTAACTTTGGGCAGGTTGCTTAACCTCTCTGTGCCTCAGTTCTTCATCTGAAAATAGAGACAGTCATAGTATGTACTTACCTAATAGGTTACTATGAGAGTTACATGAAAGCTTGAAATATAATGCTATATGAATATTAGATATAATTATTATTTTAAAATAATAGAAACAATTAATACATAGGAAAAATGACTGCTATTGCTAACTCTTGGGCAATTTTTTAAAATTATAAGAAACTGAGTGTTCATGTGTATGAATCTATGTGTGTGTGTGTTTATATTGTTTGTATAGTTATATATTTACATATATATATAAATATATATAAAATTACTATCTGCCTCTGAAAAGAATATCACAATTAGAATCAAATATATTTCACAAAACGTTATTTGTTTTATGTGAAAGGATTCTATTAAAGGTTAAAGATCTCTGTATATTACTTTTGTTGTTATTAATAGCAGTAAATAATTAATGATTTTAATAGCATTTCTTTCTAGAGAGTTGCAAATACTATTTGTAAATAAAATGATAAAATAAAAAAACAAGGAAAAAAATGCAACCAAATCCACAATGCTTTCACTTAATAGAGGTAAGGACTACCACCCCCTCCTGTTACAACTTCCTAATATCTGGTAAGAAGCATTATTTTGCGATATTCTGTCTAGATACTCTTTAGGAAGGGTCTACACAAACATTAAATGCATCGGGGAATTGCTCCACAAAGACCCCACTATATTAAATGCTAGATTAATCACTTAAAAAGAAACTTACATTTTTATAATGTAAATTCTAAAATCAACATTACCCATAATTATTTTATTATAGTGTTTTTAAATTTAATGCAGAGCTATGGATAGATACTTGCCCTCAAATATACAAGTATTATTTTAAAACTATAGAAAACTTCTTAACTTAAAAAAAAGAAAAAGAAAATACCTTGTAGGAAAGTTTGTAAGGTGCATGAAAATCCACACCACAGAATCTGAAGATACATCTTGGACATGTACCAGTATTGAACAACAACTGGGCCACATGCTTGTTTTCCTCAGTCAGCGGAAACATACTGAATATCTATAACTAGAAAGAAACAAAAGGTAAAACTTATGAGCATCTTTTGTGTTTTACTTTCACAAACAAATCATCTTTAAAGATAAAAACTTTTATTTGAAAAACACTATTTTGTATTCCTCAATAATGACCCTTCCATTATATGCATAATGAAACATAAACTTCAAAGAAATTTATTAGATGAATCAGATAAGTTTCTAATTGCCTAGGGATTAGTTTAGTATTTTGGATTATGATAAAGTATATCAATATAACTCAACCAATCAAAAATAATAATAACCAAGAATGGCTGTCTCTGAGAAAAGTGATGACAACAAGAGCAGAAAGTAAAAATTTGCTTTTATTTTGTAGCATTCAGTATTGTTTGAGAATACAGAATAAATTCAATAAACTTTTCATATTAGAAGTTAAAAAATGAATTTGCTAGAAAAAAAACTTATCAGATAAGTTTACATTATATAATACTTGAATAACCTTAATGAAAGTTAAGCAGTCAAACATTTAAAACAAATTAATGGGTGGATCCAAAAACATCAATTTTACTTTGATGATATAACTAAATGACAACTATTATCAAAATAAGAACAGTTTGCTTCTTTCATGCACAAGTAAAACCTCCAACAAAAACAAAAGAAATGAAAATATTTTAGGGTAAATGCTGTCTGAAACAATTTGCTACCTTTTGCAATTTGAAAAAATTCGCTTAGAAACAAATATTAGAGAAGAGGTGAACTCCAGTATAATTCTCTTGTTGCCAAGGAAGGGGGGGGAGGGTAGTTAATTACCTAATCATTTTGTTTGGCAAATGTAGATGGTCTTCTGATTAATGATTCAGTCCACATTACTTTGAAATAAGGGAATAACAAAGAGATTGCAGGGCCATGTTATGGTATGGTATAACTGTGGTCACACAGGTAAAACAGTGGCGCCTTTTAAGGTGTGGCTTCATAATTCAAATGAACTTGTTCAAAGTTGTGGGAAGCCAAAACCGGTTTGGCTCAGTGGATAGAGCGTCGGCCTACAGACTGAAAGGTCCCAGGTTTGATTCCGGTCAAGGGCATGTACCTTGGTTGTGGGCACATCCTGGTGGGGGGGTATGCAAGAGGCAGCTGGTCGATGTTTCTCTCTCATCTATGTTTCTAACTCTCTATCCCTCTCTCTTCCCCTCTGTGAAAAATCAATAAAATATATATTAAAGTTTGTGGGAAGGTGAAGCTCTTACCAACTGTTTATATAAAGATGTACTTCTTAGAATATGTTTATGTTTTTCAACCCTTTAAATGTACTACAATACTTCCTTCCAAACTTTTGAATGTTTGTGGTCACTTACCAAGAATAGAGCCTTGACACAAAATAATGACTGCACTCCCCTCACAGAGAAACTGTTTCTCTGTGGCATAAACCCTTTATGCCATCTTTTCTCCTCCTTTCCATTAGTTAAGGTCAAGGATTTCATTTAATTCATAATTAACATTTAACTCAGAGAAACAAATAATTCTTCTTCCTCAATAAAGTCTAGGAGCAAGTGCTTTAAAAAGGACACTTTGTATCAAAGATTGCCCTGGGGACTTAAGTTAAATAATTTCAACAAAATGTTTATTTTCTTTCCTTTGGCTTAAAAACAATGTTTACTTCTCCAATAGTTCCTGGAAATAAAGATATCATGCAATGTGAATTAATGGCACAACATCATCTCTTCGCTCTGAGAAATTCCTACACCTACTGGGAATTGGATCTGTACTGAGTCTTAAACAAAACCAATCAAAACCCTCTTGAGTGTGTTATTAATTGAATAGATTTACAATCCTCCCAAATCATTTTCACCTAGCAACAATCTAGCGCGTTCTTGAGCACCTTGAAAGGAGGAAATACGTTTATGCCTTAAATTTGGTTGTTTCATCTTAAAGTACAGCGTTGAAATGACAGGACTGCTTCCAGGGATATCAGAAACCCGTCGTCCCATAAGAGGCTCATCTTTCAAAGCAAGCTATAAGAACTGTGCCAGCACAGGAAGGTTCTGACTGTTGCTACCTTCGTTAGGACGTTTGCTTTCGTTTACGTGTTTACAGAAAGAACCGGAACAAGTCATTGCAACAGAACCTGCTCCCACGTGTCAGGATCCCCAAGGGGACAGAGTGCCTCCCTTCCCCCCAAGCCAAGGATAACCAAGCCAGCCCGTGGTAAACCCGTACACTGGAGGAGAGGATGAACTTTCTTTCCACCCCTCAGAATGTCACAAAAACCATTCACTGCAACTATGGAAAGGGGCAGGGCATGGGGAAAGGCACCAGCATGACCAGGCTTGTCTCTCATCCTGTGATCTTTGAAAAACTCACTGCATACTGAAGGGTGTCGTTTGTCTCGTGGGGGTGGGGGTGGGGGTGGGATTTCTAAAGAGGGAGGCGCTCATAACTGCATTTCGCTACCGATGCACTCAGCTGTGCAATCTCCCTCCCCTACGTCCAAGATCTATCCAACCTTGAGGGTCTTTTTTTTTTTTTTTTTTTTTTTGCCAAACAAGACCTCCCTCCCTCTCCCCCTCCCCCCAGCCACCCCCGCTTCGGTCAAGTCCAGGAAACTTCCCACTCACCCCTCCTCGCTAACAAAGCGGCTCCCGCGGAAAGGAAACGATCCCCTCCATCCGCACCTCAGACACCCCGACGGCACGCCCTCGCCTCGGACCTCCCGGCCTCACCTCCTCTCCCGCGGAGCCGGAGCCTGAGATTTAACCCCTGCCGGCCCTCGGAGGGAGCGGGGAAGACTAAAGACAGCGCACCCATGCGTCTAGCAATTCCGTTCCCCGAGGAAACGAGAGCATCAGAACAAAAGTACCAGCCCCGCCTCGGGAGGACTGAATGCGCTATCCCCTGCTTGTTTGAAAAAAAAAAAAAAAAAAAAAAATCAGTGAAATTGCCTGAATTGCCGCCACCACACACACACACACACACACACACACACACACACACACACACACACACACACATACACACCCCGCCTCCCCCGCGGGTGGAGGAGTGAGTGCGTGGGACAAAAGTCCACGCCGGAGCGGGACTGGTCTCGGAGGAGCTGCGGAGGGACGCCAGCCCTCTAAGGCATGGTAGCCGCTGCCAGAAATGTCGATGAGCCCTTGCCTTCCGGAGGTTTAAAAAAAGGAAATTCTTTCTTTGGCAAATAAAAAAGAGAAGCCTCTCTGTCTCTCGTGGGTTCGTGGCATCCTCCTACCCTCCGGTGCTTGCTAAGCTAAAGCCCCACACGCCCCGCGCTGGCCGCGCCGGTGGGCGGGGTGGAGGGCTCGGCGCTCTGCCCGTCGCGCCTGGTGCGCGAGCCGTGGGTTCGCCGGGGCCGGAGTCCCAGCGCCCCGCCGCCTCGGAGCGCTGCGCAGGCGGAGGAGATGGCGTCTCAGCCGCCGCCGCCCCCGAAGCCCTGGGAGACTCGCCGGATTCCGGGGGCCGGGCCGGGGCCAGGACCCGGCTCCGCTTTCCAGTGAGTGCGGGAGGCTCCGGGCCGCGGGTTCCGTGGGCTGGCGCGGCGGGGCCTTGTCCGGGGGCGGTTGGGGCCGTTGTGGGGGGCGAGGTTCCCCTCCCCCTCTCGCCCAGCCCCAAGCCGGGAAGCGGGGTCGGGGAGGCGGGGGGTCCTGGGGCGGCTTCGCTGTCTGACCGCAGTGTCTGACCCGTTGGCTGTTGGCGTGGCGGCCTCCCGGGACCTGCTTTTCTGGGTCCCGGGGCTTGGAATAAAGGGGGAGGCTTCCTGTCCCCCCTCTGGTTGCCGGACACTTGGCGGCACCGCCGGGCCCCCTGTAAAGCGCTAGACTCTCCGTCTGGAGCGGGGGCCGTTTGCCCAGCCCCGGCTGGAAGGGGAGCAAAGTCTCCCTGAAGCTTCGGACCAGCCTCTCGGGTGGTTGGAGGAAGCCCAGAAGGTCCCTTTTACGCAACCGGGACCTCAGCCTGTGACACACTTGGCCTTGTTTTCCAGAGCCACTCCGCAGTGGGTCGTGCAGAGATTTGGAGAAGCCACTTGAAAGCGGGAGTTCTAAATCTAAGGCCTAGGGCTGGCCCTTAGGCGCAAAATAATGTGTTGTTGTTGTTTTTTCTAAGGCCCGTGGCTTTTGTTGTTGCTTTTCTTAATAAGCATTGAATGGATTTACAACTCAAAAAAAAAAAGGTTAAAATAGTATGAGAGAGTTTCACAGCCTTCTATGTTTGCGGATTTGGACATCCTAGTTCCGATGGTGGAACTGGAATGTCACATAACCTGATACATAAGAATCCCCAACATACCGGAAAGTATTTCTTCTACTCTTAAACTCTTGTAATAATTTATTTAAACGGCATGATGCTTGAATGGAGCGGCTACCTAATGATAGATATTTAACGAGTAATAAGCTTTTAATTATGCTGTTAAGCCGGGGTGACACTTTCTACTACCTTTTTAATGAATAATTTGACTTACTGAAAATGTGGACTGTTCTGTGGAACAGAGGTTTTATTCTTGCATCTGTTAGAGTTCTGTTTATGTGAAATTAACCATTTCCCACTCTTTTTTCATTGTGATTTGTTTTAAATATGTAGAGACTTGTTGAGAGTAAGATAGTGAATACGTGTGTATGCATTCACTCCCAGCTTTAAAAAATAATATTTTGCCAGATTTGCCTCAGGATCTAAAAAAAAAAAATTAAAAATAGAGAAACATTATTTTCCTGTAGTAACTACTGTCTCTATTTGGTGTTTAGTGTACCCAATAGTTTTTATACTTTATCTCATATTTCACAACTTAGTTTTGTGTGTATATGTATTTTTCAAACTACCATTTTGCAAAATGTATTTCCAGTTAATTCTATATAATAAAAGCCAAATATGCTAAGTGTCCAGTCAGCCATTCAACCAATCAACTGATAATAGGCTAATGATATGCTAAAGCCTCTCAACCGCTCGGTGTGACGTGCACTGACCAGCAGGGGGCAGACGCTCCAACCAGTAGGTTAGCTTGCTTCTGGGGTCCAGCTGATTGGGACTGAGGGAGATGGGCTGGACATGCCCTGGAGCCCTCCTGTGATTCCTCCCCTGCTGGCCAACCTCCTGCGTTCCTCCCTGGTCCTGATGGTATATCAGTGAGGTTCCTCGGCCTAGCCTGCGCCCTCTCCAATCCGGTACCCCTTGGGGTAGGGGTGTCGAACTCAATCAGAGAAGGGGCCAAAATCTAAAATCCAGCCTAAATCGTGGGCCGAATGGTTTACTGAACAGTCATAAACTGTCATTGTGATGGAAACGCAGCGGAGTGCAGTGATGACAGCGCGGTGCGGGCCACATTGCAAGGCCTGGCGGGACGGATTTGGCCCGCGGGCCTTGTGTTTGACACATGTGCCTTGGGGGATGTCAGAGAGTCGATTTTGGCCCGATCCCGCAGGCCAAGCTGAGGGACCCCACTGATGCACAAATTGGTGTATCAGGCCTCTAGTATTATATATAAACTAGTGGCCCAGTGCAGGTGGGGTGAGGGGATGTCCCTCAGCCGGCCTCTACCATCTCCAATCTGAGACCTCTCTGGGGCTGCCTGGCTGCCGTCAGACATCCCTCTTGCAATCCGGACCCCTGGCTCCTAACTGCTCACCTTTCTGCCTGCCTGCCTGATTGCCACTAACCACTCGCCCCCAAGGGCTCCCCCATCCCTGCCAGCCTGCTTGCCTCCAACTGCCCCCAAAACACACACACACACACACAAACACACACACGTGCTGGCCTGATTGCCCCTAACCTGTCTCTGCCTTGGCTCCACCACCATGGCTTTGTCCGGGGTGTGCAGAAGGCTTGGCTTCCTCCATTGCCTGGGAAACCCAAGCCTCCCTCCTGCGCTCTGTGGCTGTAGCCATCTTGGTTAGGTTTATTTGTATATTCGCTCCTGATTGGCTGGTGGGCATGGCTTATGGATGTAGCGAAGTGATGATTAATTTGCATATTACTCATTTATTAAATAATATACTAGAGGTTGGGTGCATGAAATTCATACATGGGGGGTGTCCCTCAGCCCAGCCTGCACCCTCCAATCTGGGACCCCTCAAGGGATGTCCAACTGCCCGGTTAGGTCCCATTCCAGTAGGATCAGACCTAAACTGGCAGTCAGATATCCCTCTCACATTCCAGGACTGCTGGCTCCCAACTGTTCGCCTGCCTGCCTGCCTGCCTGCCTGCCTTCCTGATTGCCCCTAACCACTTCTGCCTGCCAGCCTGATTGATGCCTAATTGCTCCCCTGCCAGCCTGTTTGCCCCCAACTTCCCTCCTCTGCTGGCCTGGTCACCCCTAATTGCCCTCCCCTGCTGGCATGATCGCCCACAATTGCCCTCCCCTGCAGGCCTGGTGCCTCCCAACTGCCCTCTCCTGCTGGCCATCTTATGGTGGCCATCTTGTGTCCACATGGGGGCAGCCATCGTGTGTGTTCGAGTGACAGTCAATTTACATATTACTCTTTTATTAGATAGGATTTCTTAATTTCAGAGAGACAGGGAGAGGGACAAAGAGATAGGAACATCAATGATGAGAGCGAACCATTGATTGGCTGCCTCCTGCATGCCCCACACTGGGGATTGAGCCTGCAATCCAGGCATGTGCCCTGACCTGGAATTGAACTGTTACTTCCTGGTTTATAGGTTGATGCTCAACCTCTGAGCCACACCAGCTGGGATTAACTGATTCTAATCAAACATTTAGAAGCAGTCTTTACTTTAACTGGAAATATAGAGAATAAAGGTATATTTAAACAACATTTTTGGAGAAAACATCTAGAATGTAGGGCATTCTAGAAGAAAACTGGATGGACTGTTCAAAAAGTCAGGGACATTTTTTTAAAAGAGGTTCTAGTTTAGAAGAGAGGAGACAACCAAATGCAACATGTGAATCTTAATTTAATTTTTGTTTAAAAAATTGACACTGAGCACACTATTTTGTTAAACTTGTATTTTCTTGATAATAAAACTTTATCTGTGAAGAAGGGATTTGTTGATTTACATTATGGTGCAAGCTCTTTATTGGCCTTTTGAATAGCAGTGGTTACAGGATGATTGGAGAGGAAAATACTCAGAATGAAGCACAAAGTGTCAAAAGGACAGAACATACAGAAAAGAAGGGAAGAGATTTAGAGGATGAAGTAAGGTATAATTTACAAATAGAAAAAAAATGAACAGTCATGTAACTCTAGGCTATCCCAAAAAACATGTATACACACTTTGAATAATTATAAAAGCTGTTTATTAAAATACATTTCTTTTTCAAAATTAAGCTATCAGCTGTTAAATTATGTACACTTTTTGGGGAACATGCTTATTAAAGCAGTGCTTTTCAAAATATTTGTGTTAATGCCAGTACATTTGTAAAATACAGTAAAAATACAGCAGTGTCAAATCACTTAAACACTTAACATCATTTTCTGTACTTTTAATAGATTGGTACAAATTGTTCATAAATTAGCACTGGTCCACAGAACATACTTTTAAGTAGCATACTACAAAAGAAATAGAATTCATAATTAAAATCCTTCTTACTAAGAGAATGGTAGGCAGGCCCATATGAATTTATTGGTAAATTTCACAAATTTTTCAAAAAGAAATAAATATACAAACTATTATAGAAAAAAGGAAACACTTCTCATTTCTTTATAAGAGATCGATTTAACCTTGGTACCCAAATCTGATAAAGACAATAAAAACAAATTAGGGCATTCTCTTAAGAAAGTAGAATGAAAAATATCTTAACAAAATACTGGCAAAACAAGTCAGGAGTATATCATGGCTATTTAGTTTTACTTCAGGAATGTAGGTTGGCTTTAACATTTGAGAATTAATATATTTCATTATCCTATATGATAAAAAGCTAATATGCAAATCGACCTAATGGCCTAACGACCAGTCACTATGATGAGCACTGACCACCAGGGGGCAGACACTCAACACAGGAGCTGCCTCTTAGTGGTCAGTGCACTCTCACAAGGTGAGAGCCACTCAGCCAGAAGCCAGGCTCACAGCTGGCAAGTGCAGCAGTGGTGGCAGGAGCTTCTCCCGCCTCTGCGGCAGCACTAAAGATGTCCAACTGATGGGGAGTGGGCCTAAGCTGTCAGTTGGACATCCCCGAGGGCTCCCAGACTGAGAGGGTGCAGGCTGGGCTGAAGGCCCTTCCACCAAGTTCACGATTTTCATGCACTGGGCCTCTGATATCCTGTATAATAAAAGCCCAGCGCCGAAACCAGTTTGGCTCCATGGATAGAGCGTCGGCTTGGGGACTGAAAGGTCCTGGGTTCGATTCCAGTCAAGGGCATGTACCTTGGTTGCAGGCATATTCCCAGTGGGGGGTGTGCAAGAGGCAGCTGATCGATTACTCTCTCTCATAGATGTTTCTAACTCTCTATCTCTCTCCCTTCCTCTCTGTACAAAATCAATAAAAATATATTTTAAAATAAAAAAATAAATAAAAATAAAATAAATAAATAAAAACCCAGCGATCAAACAGTGAAACAACCAGAATGACCGGTCGACCAGTTGCTAAGATGCACACTAACCACTAGGAGGCAGAAGCTCAATGCAGGAGCTGCCCCCTGGTGGTCAGTGTGCTCTCACAGTGGGAACACCGCTTGGCTGACTGGGATGAGCAGCTGCTTTCTGCAGTGGGAGCAGCTGCTCAGAGGGCAGGTCCTCATCTGGTCAGCTAACCTGGAAGAGTGGTTGCATTGGACAACACTCCAACCAACTGAGCCATACCAGCCAGGGTGAGCCAATACACTCATGAAGATGAAGAACATTGTGGGAGGACTTGTTTTATTAGACATTTAAATCTGTTATAAAACTGTAGAATTATGATAGTGTCATTTAGATACAAGAATGGACAATATCTAGCAACCAACCCTGAGAAAATGGACAAGCGTATTAAAAAGAAACATCGAGCCTAGACCGGTTTGGCTCAGTGGATAGAGCATCGGCTTGGGGACCAAAGGGTCCCGGGTTCGATTCTGGTCAAGGGCATGTACCTTGGTTGCGGGCACATCCCCAGTGGGGGGTGTGAAAGAGGCAGCTGATCAATGACGCTCTTTCATCGATGTTTCTAACTTGCTATTTCTCTCCCTTCCTCTCTGTACAAAATCAATAAAATATATTTTTTAAATAAAAGAAACATCGATGAGAGAGAAACATAGATCAGCTGCCTCCTGCACAACCCCTACTGTGGATATGCCCACAACCAAGGTATATGCCCTTGACTGAAATCGAACCCGAGACTTTTCAGTCCACAGGCTGATGTTCTATCCACTGAGCCAAACCAGTTTCGGCTCTTTTTTTAATTTTGATAACATTTTTAAAAATATATCTTTTTTAAATAAAATACATTTTATTGATATTTTACAGTGAGGAAGGGAGAGAGAGAGCTAGAAAAGTCAGTGAGAGAGAAACATTGACCAGCTGCCTCTTGCACACCCCTACCGGGGATGTGCCCACAACCAATGTACATGCCCTGGACCAGAATCCACCCTGGGACCTTTCAGTCCGCAGACCGATGCTCTACCACTGAGCCAAACCGGTTTTGGCTAAAAATATATCTTATTGATCTTTACAGAGAAGAAGGGAGAGGAAGAAGGATAGAGGTAGAAACATCAATGAGAGAGAAACATCGATCAGCTGCCTCTTGCACACCTCTTATTGGAGATGTGCCCACAACCAAGGTACATGCCCTTGACCGGAATTGAACCTGGGACCTTTCAATCCACAGGCTGACGCTCTATTCATTGAGCCAAACCAGTTAGGGCTATTCCTTACTCTTAACATATATTCAGTAGAATCTCATAACACTAGATATCAGAGGAATTTTATAGTTCATTTGAATTGAACCTATTGTGCTTACGTTGAATTTTGTTTGTTTTAGATCCGCTGATTTGGGTCCTACTTTATTGACAAGACCTGGACAACCAGCACTTACCAGAGTGCCCCCACCTATTCTTCCAAGGCCAACACACCAGACAGGAAGTAGCAGTGTGAACACTTTCAGACCTGCTTACAGCTCATTTTCTTCAGGATATGGTGCCTATGGAAATTCGTTTTATGGAAGCTATAGCCCTTATAGTTATGGATATAATGGGTTAAACTATAACCGCCTCCGTGTAGATGATCTTCCGCCTAGTAGATTTGTTCAGCAAGCTGAAGAAAGCAGCAGAGGTGCATTTCAGTCCATCGAAAGTATTGTACATGCATTTGCCTCTGTCAGTATGATGATGGATGCTACCTTTTCAGCTGTGTATAACAGTTTTAGGGCTGTATTGGATGTAGCGAATCATTTTTCCCGATTAAAAATACACTTCACAAAGGTTTTTTCAGCTTTTGCATTAGTTAGGACTATAAGGTATCTTTACAGACGGTTACAGCACATGATAGGTTTAAGAAGAGGCTCCGAGAATGAAGACCTATGGTCAGAAAGTGAAAGAACTGTTGCTAGCCTTGGTGCTGATGACAGAGCGGCTAACTCAGCAAAATCTTGGCCAATATTCTTGTTCTTTGCTGTTATCCTTGGTGGTCCTTACCTCATCTGGAAACTGCTGTCTACCCACAGTGATGAAATAACAGGTAAGAATAAGAGAATAGGTCCTGAGACAATCTCAAATTTCAAGAATAGATTTGTTACATTAACATTTTTTATATTTATTTGTATTTAAAATTTTTTATCAGTTATATTTTTAGTTCAGAACTTCAGAACTGGAAAAGAAATATATTGCAAAAACAGGCTTATTGATTTATTAATTGTTCATTCAGTATAAGAGTATACATAACCTAACTACTATTTACAAGGTACTGAATTTGATGCTATGGGGTATACATAGGACATAATTTCCTTTTTTCTAAAAGTTAATTGGCAGAGAGATGAGTAAAATACATATACAGGTAACTGGGATGAGACAGAAAGAGTGTGGTAAGGAATAAGGACAGTTGGGAGAAAATAGGGTTTATTGAGCCTTTTTTATATGAAAGACACTACTGAGTATTTTGTGTATTTTATCTCACTTAATTTTTACAGTAACCGTAAGAGATGGGAATTACCTTCATTTTACAAGGGGCACAATTAAAGTTCAAAGAAGTCACTTGTCCAGGGTCATATCTTTAATAAAATAGGACTATTATAGAAACAAAACTAGACCTGTTTGTTAAGTTCCTTCTCCACCAACTGGTACTGAATGCTATCTCAATTTAAAAAGCAAAGCTAGTTTTTTGGGGGCAGTTATTAGTATCCAATAAGTTGCATTTAAGTTGGATTTTTGAAGGACAGGTAACATTTCATCAGTTAGGTAGGGGAAAACAGACTGTGAAAGGCACATAGACCCTTGGAACAGAACAGAGAACCCAAAAATTGACCCAAGCCATTATGCTCAACTAATATTTGACAAAGGAGGCAAGAGCATGCATTGGAGTCAACAGTCTCTTCCATAAGTAGTGTTGAGAAAATTGGACAGATACATGCAAAAAAAATGAAACTAGACTACCAACTTACATCATATACAAGAATAAACTCAAAGTGGGTAAAAGACTTAAGTCATGAAACCATACAAATTCTAGAAGAAACTATAGGCAGCAAAATCTTAGACATCTCTTATAGGTAGCAGTCTGTTTACAGATATATCTCCTAAGGCAAAGGAAACTAGGGAGAAAATAAATGAGACCACATAAAAATAAAAAGGTTTTTCACAGCAAAAGAAACAATCAATAAAACAAAAAGAGAGCCCACTGTAGGGGAGAACATATTTGGCAATGGTACATCTAATAAAGGGTTAATATCCAAAATATATAAGGAACTCATACAGCTTAACAAAAGGAAGACAAACAATCCAATTAAAAAATGTGCAAAGAACCTAAATAGACACTTGTCCAAAGAGGACATACAGATGGCCAAGAGACTTAAGAAAAAATGTTCAAACCTACTGATCATTAGAGAGATGCAAATTAAACATCAATGAAGTATCACCTCACACCTGTCAGAATGGCTACTGTCAACAAATCAACAAATGACAAGTGCTGGCGAGGATGTGGAGAAAAGGGAACACTAGTACACTGCTGGTGGAAATGCAGACTGGTGCAACCATCATGGAAAACAGTATGGAGTTTCCTCAAAAAATTAAATATGAATTTGCCATTTGACCCAGTGATCCCATTTCTAGGAATATATCATAAGAAACCTGAAGCACTAAGTAGAAAAAATGTATCCCTATGTTCATAGCAGCACAATTTACCATCGCTAAGATCTGGAAACAGTCCAAGTGCCCATCAGTAGATGAATGAATAAAAAACCTGTTACATTCATACCATGGAATCCTATGTAGCAGTAGAAAAGAATATATTACCCTTTGAGATATCAGGAGGGACCTGGAGAATATCATGTTAAATAAAATAAGTCAGAGAAAGACAAGTATCACATGATTGCACTCATGTGGAATCTAAGGAACAAAATAAACTGATGAACAGAGTGGTTCCAAAGAGATGGAAGCATGGAACAGAGTGTGGAATCTCAGAGGGAAGGCAGGGGAGGATGAGTGGGTGGGAGGTAATCAAAGACCTTGTATGCATATATGCATAACCCATGGACAGCAGGTTGGAGGTGGTCAGTTAGGGAAAAGAGGGAACATGTAATACTTTCAACAATAAAGAAAAAGAGGCTGTCAAGCAGATGAAACAGCATGAACAAAAGTGCATAGACAGACGCCCTAGCCTAGTGACTCCCTGAGACCCCCACCCCTCACAATCCACAGACTCACCCAAGTTCTGCACAGCTGCTTTTGCATATGAATGGCCTCCCCTATCGCAGCTTTTAACAGCAGCCCCCCTAACTGCAGCTCTGGTCAGAGGGCTCCAAAACCTTCAATCCCCAAGCAAAGAGGAGAAAACTAGTTTGCGCTGTAGCTCCTGCTGGGTGGCCTCAGACAGTAGCTGACCTGCGTCCCGTTGGAGACCCAGAAGCCTGTGTACCTAGTGGTCAGTGTGAGACAACATCAGATTTCAACTCACATCCATAAGTGACACATGCAAGAGGCAGACTGAGTGAGCACCAAAGCCCCACCGAAGCAAGTCCTGCCCCATAAGCGTGTCTCCAGTGACAGTTCTTCTATTACAGACACACTTGAGTTCTCAGCCAATTGGCCCAGTGCGCCAACAGCAATCAAGACTTAACTACAAAACTTTGCACTCAGCCCACACAGGGGTGCACCAAGAGCTTCCACCTCAGGTCACTGGGGAGGCTGAGCCACTGGCCCCTATAAGTCACCTACCACACAAAACCACTCCGTCAACACAGGGAAGCAGCCAAAATATGGAGGCAAAGAAACCTGTCACAAATGAAAGAAATGGAGGAAAGCAAACTACTGGATATAGAGTTCAAAACCACATTTATAAGGTTACTCAAGAATCTTCTAAAAACTGCCAAGAAATTTGATGAGACCTGAGCTTAGTGAGACCTTCAAGGACTTTAATGAGAATGCCCCCAAAATGGAAAAGGACCAGTCAGAAATTAAGCATACACTGTCTGAAATAAAGAATATACAAAAATTCAACTGTACATCAAAGGACCCCAAGAATCGAGCCAAAGATCTGAAATATGAAGAAACAAAAAACACCCAACCAGAAAAACAAAACAAAACAAAAAAAGAATCCAAAAATATGAAGATAGTGTAAGGAGCCTCTGGGACAACTTTAAAGCGTACCAACATCCAAATTATTAGGGTGCCAGAAAGAGAGAGAGAACAAAATATTGAAAACCTATTAGAAGAAATAATGACAGAAAACTTTCCCTACTTGGTGAAAGAAATAGAATTACATGACCAGGAAGTGCACAGAACCCCTAACAAGATAGTGCCATAGGAAGAAAAGTAAGAGTTGCAAAACCAGAGTTAGGAAGTAGGGTTACAGTGCTACACCAGTCAGGGAAGCTTCCCTTGAGGAGGGAAGAGAATAAGACCTATAGCTATTTGAGGCATAGGAAATAACAAAGGTATGTAAGTGGTAGTGTGCCTGACGTGTCACGTGAACAGCAAGGAATCCAGTGGGAAAGAAGCAAAGTCTGAATAGCAAGGGATGAAGGAGGGAAGAATACAGTGTTTTTGGATCTCCATGCAAGTGAAAAGGAAATTTCCATATTTCAAAGTCTTGAACTATGTACTTGAGAAGTCTCCACCTAAATGATTTTCATTTGGAAGTGCATTAGTCTCTAATGTAATGACATGACATACATTAATACAAAAGAAGAATTTACAGAATTCTCTATCTACTTATAGATGGGTATACGCAATTAAAACCACAAGTTCAGTGAATATCAGGATTTGTCAGTACCTATCTGTATGAAAAAATACTTTCAAAGATGAAATGCCTCAAATCTTTTTATGTATGAGCATTAACAGATAAACATTTGCACATGATATGATGTGATGATAGAAAATACTACAGTTAAACCCAAAATATTATCCCAACTCCAAAATCCCAGTCTTCTCAGTAGAAGACCTGTATTATAAAAAAAAAAGGACTCAACTTTTTAAAATTAATTTTTTTACAGAGAGGAAAGGAGAGGAATAGAGAGTTAGAAACATCGATGAGAGACAAACATCAATCAGCTGCCTCCTACACACCCCCTACTGGGGATGTACCTGCAACCAAGGTACATGCCCTTGACTGGAATCTAATCTAGGACCTTTCAGTCCACAGGCCAACACTCTATCCACTGATCCAAACCAGTGAGTGCAAGAACTCAATTTTTACTACATTTTGAGTTTTATAAAAAAAATTATGGAAAAGTTTTTCTTTTGTTAAATAAGTACAATATCTTCAATTTGCCTCATTACCTGCAAAGGCTAAAATATTTACTTATTGTCTTACCTTTTATAGAATAAGTTTACTAATCCTTGGCCTAAAGGAAGCTAGAATTTTGTTCTTAAAAGGGAAAAATTTATAATAGATAACCCAGTGAACATACTGTTGACTTTACATCATGTTAATTATAGATTTACTTTAAGGGGTGGTTTTCTTTACAAACTTAGGCAACTTGCAAACCAGAGCCAAGTAAAATATCTTCATCTTTCTTTTGTAATTTTTACTAACTTAATTTTTATTCTTAATTTGGTTTGTAGACAACACCAACTGGGCAAGTGGTGAGGATGACCATGTAGTTGCTAGAGCGGAGTATGATTTTGCTGCCCTATCTGAAGAAGAAATTTCTTTCCGTGCTGGTGATATGCTCAACTTAGCTCTCAAAGGTAACAAAATATGAATAAATTGAAACTATCTGAATTTTTTACTGCAACAAAATATTGGCTATTGTTAGTTAACTTAGGAGTTCACTTTTTGTGTCTATTTTGAACTTTCAAATCTGGGTGGTGGGGAGAAATGGTCTACATAGCAGTTCTAATAATATTTAACTGAGATAAGGAAAGAGCTTATTTATATAATTTCTTCTAAACCCAAATGCTTGAAATCCAAACTCTTAATCATTACACAAAAACATGAGGTAAACACTAAATGTAATAAATATAACAAACCAAAGAAATTATCTAGCATCGTTTAAGTCGTTTAAGTATTCCTTTCCTCCTTTGAATGCTGGGGCTGTTACTGCTTTTTTTTTTTTTTTTTTTTTTTTACTTGAATAGTGTTTCTTAAGAAACTTCAACATAAATATTTTAGAAATTACTGTCATGAAATATTTGGACCAGGTCACCAACACTTTTTAACAGGTCTATACAAAGTGGCTTTTTTTCTTCAGCTCTCTCCAGTAATGAAAATCAAAATTTTTGTTGATTTACAAAAAAAGATTCTCTGTATGTTTATGAGGATTCAGGTTTGCTACAAATAGTCACATGTTGGTAAACATACTAGTAAAAATAATAACCTCTGTCAGTTATAGAATACTATTGTACTTACTATGTACAAAGTACTATATTTTACATGTTTTATTTAACCCTTATAATAATAATGCTGTAAAATGCGAACTGTTACTACCTTGTCCCTGTTTTATTTATTTTTTATTTCTTTATTGATTAAGGAATCACATATATGTCCTCAACCCCCATTCCAATCCCCCATCCATCCCCACTCATGCCCCCACCCCCCTATTATCTTTGACCACTGGTTAGGCTCATAGTATGCACTCAAGTCCTTTGGTTGATCTCTCCCTTTTATCCCCACCCTCCCTTTGAGGTCCAACAGTCTGACCCATGGCTCCTTATCTCTGAGACTGTTCTTGTTCATCAGTCTATGTTGTTCACCATTTCCCCTAGATGAGTGAGATCATGTCCTACTGGAAATATAAGAATCAAAAATGAGACAAGCAATAATCATTATGCTAAAAGGCATATGAATAAGTCTTTAGTGAGTTTCTTTCTGGACCAACAGTTCTTTTGAGACTCAATTTCAATGTCAAACAGTTTCTTATGTGAACATGTCAGCAATGATATTTCAGTTCTGGATGGTGGACAAATGGTGGTAATGCAGGTCCAACCCTCTCTGGTTTGGTCCTGGACAACCTGCAGTGATACACAGCTGCTGACTGCTATTATGGTAAGGCGTCATCAGGGACTTCCATCTCTGGACTGCTTCTCTTCTGTCTTCTTGGTTGGAGTAGTCTGTCAATTCCTCTCTATTGCCAGAATCAACATGGTCTCAGAGTTGTTTTCTGAAACAACTTCTCGACCAAAAGTTAATAAAGGAATATTTTCTATAAATTTGACTTGAGATCCTTTTTCATTTTTTGCCCAAATGATTTTCCTCCGGGCTGTTTTGACACCATGTGTGTTTTTCTTGGGTGTCTTGCTGTTAGCATTACAATTAATTTTCTAAAGTACCTTGTCCCTGTTTCAGACACGAGAAAACTAAGCCTCAGAATTTTGAGTAAATTGTCTAGAATCACAAAACTAAGATGTGGTGGAGCTGGACTATGAACCTAGATTTTTCTGACTTTGGAACCACTTTGGCTGTTTTCCATGCTGTCTATTAAATAGGAACTTTAGCCCAGCAGTCACCACCTTTCAAACCCCACGGGCCACCAGTGGCCTACCCAAGGGACCCCACTCGTGCATGAATTTGTGCACCAGGCCTCTAGTGTGTAAATATTGATAATTTAAAATTTTGGATCCAATTTGATAAATCTCTGCCACATTCCCTCATACACAAAACCTCGCCCCTAGCAATTATATTCATGTTTTCCATCTAGAGAAAATAACATCTTATTATTTTGAATTTCAAAAGAATGATTTCTTCATAAGATGTCTTTTTTTAATATATTTTTCTTTTGAATATTTTTCAGAAAGGAAGGAAGAGAACTAGAGAGATAGAAACATCATTAATGAGAGAGAACTATTGATTGGCTGCCTCCTGCACATAACACAGCTTTTACTTAATATTTTCCTGTTACTTTTCTGTTGGACCTCCAAAGTATGTTATAATTACAAGGCTGTCTTTTCTTTCATCAGAACAGCAACCCAGAGTGCGTGGCTGGCTGCTGGCTAGTCTTGATGGCCAAACAACAGGACTTATACCTGCGAATTATGTCAAAATCCTTGGTAAAAGAAGAGGTAGAAAAACACTGGAATCCAGTAAAATTTCCAAGCAACAACAGCCTTTGACCAACACAACATTAATTAAAGGAGCCACAGCTGCTGATTCTTTGGATGAACAGGAAGCTGCCTTTGAATCTGTTTTTGTTGAAACCAGTAAGGTTCCAGATGTACCTAGTTCCACTGGAATAGGTGGAGATAAACAAGATCTTTGATATCTTTTATGTTTGCCTGCAGTTGAACTATAGAATACTTTTTAAAAATTACTTATATAGGAATTATTCTATAGTCCAATGAACACACTTATTGCTATTCCAGGTGTTTTGCTGCTAGAATTGTTCAAGTTCTACACTAGCATGTTGGTCTAGTGACCTGGTTACATTTTACAAGTTATTGGGCCACAAGAATGTTTGTTTCACCTAGATTTTAAGGTTATGAAAATGTTTTATTTTCATCTTATTTAAAAATCTATGTTTATTGCCTGGCCCAGTTTGAGAGTTGTCCTGTACACCAAAAAGTTTGCAGGTTCAATTCCTGGTCAGGGTGTATACCTAAGTTTTGGTTCTATCCCTGTTTGGGCACATAACAGAGGCAACCAATATCTATCTATCTAAATACCTCTCTCTCTCTCTCTCTCTCTCTCTCTCTCTCTCTCTCTCTCTCTCTCTCTCTCTCTCTCTCTCTCTCTCTCTCTCTCTCCCCCTCCTTCCCTCCCTCCCCCCACTCTCTTCCCAATCTCTGAAATCAATAAACATATTCTCAGGTGAGGATTTGTTTTAAAAAAGTAAAACTGAAGGAGTAAGAGTAATGAGCTACAGAATACACTATTTGTTACAGTAGGGAATATTAATGTTTTTAAAATTCTACATTGTCTTGAAATCCTCAGAAATTGAGTGCTAATAATATGAAAACAAGAAAAAAGACTAATTTTTTTACAACTTTAATTATATTGAATAATTAAAATTTTCTGATCTGTATTACATTCAATCTTGGGTTTGTTTTAGGCAATAAAATGTTTTTGCCCACTAATCATTTATTGTGTTTTTAAAAATTTATCTTGGGAAAGGTCCCTAGAAGCATTGTGAAGGAGATGGTTCTAGAGTATATTTAACCCTAATAGTTTCCCCTGCTATTAAAAAGGCTAACATTTATCTTTCTTACAGATGATTTTCATGTCTTCTGGGGAGCAAATACTTTTTCCCCCTTAAAATATGACTATTTTCATCCTGGATGAATGAGGATATAGGAAAGATTTACTTTTTCTTTCTCTAACCAGTACTCAAGTCCTTAGAGTTTGTGCAAAATGATATAATCAATCCTAGCATTTAACATCTTTTCATAGATTCTCTTCTTCTCACTTACATAATTACTTTTCAAGAGTACATATTCATTCAGGCTGTTCATTGAAATACACTTTAATTTAGGTTTAGTTTTTACTACTTGAGGCTATAAATAAAATTCTGAATTGCCATTTAACATATAATAAAGTTATTTGACTTTTTTTGTTTAATAATGACTTTAAATGCAGTTAAATTTCAGTAAATATTTACACACCCAATTGAAAAATTTGTATATTTGCTGTGATTATGCTATGAAATAATACTATCAGGAATACAGGTGTACAAGAACATATTCACAGGTATATTATTTCTCATTTTTGGTCTAGTAGAGGCTCTGCTTTGTTTTGTTATAGAGTAATTAATAGAAATTTTGTTCTTGAAAAATTTTTTTGATAAATTATTCAATTTGGTGTTGAGACATCTGAACTGAATCGTATAAGTGAAGTGTATAGGTGAAATGTTGAGTCAGTCTATTTAGGTTAGAAAAGCTGAGTCTTTACAATAGAATTTGTGACTGGTATTAAAGATGTAGAGGGGAAACAGTACAGCATAGAATGAATAACAAATAATTTCACTTTTCTTAAAGTGTTTATTGTAATCTTTTTTATTATGACAATTTTAGTATACTTTTTTAGGTGATATTAAATGTAATGTTCAAGGCTTCAATATTGTTATTTTTAGGAACTTATTTAAGAAGTACCACTTTACAGAAATTTAAAATCAAACATTTTTAGTTAAATAAAATAATAAATCACAAGTTACAATAAGAAAACAGGTTTTATTTACAATTTTTTATTTTATCAGTTTAGAAAGGAAAAGGTAAGAGGACAATTAATTTTCATGTTTTGACATGCTATTTATGTACTTGATTTAGTCTTTCAGTTTGTCATAATTACACATTTACTTGAAGCTAGCAGTCCTTTATCTTTACTGGGGGAAAAACAAATTGAATGCAGTTAAAATTTTATTTTTAACTATGAAATTACTTTTACTGGACAAATAAAAATACATTAAACTTAAGTGACTTTTTTTTTTTTAAGATAAACTATTAACTCTTTTTGCAAGATTGGAATTGATATAAAAGGTTCCTATTTTTCACCCTGGCTGGTGTGCGTCAGTGGTTAGTAGTCTGACCTGGAACTGAAGGGTCTTCATTCCCAGTCAAAGGAGCACATAGCTGGGTTACAGTTCCTATCCCCAGCCCATGTCGGGTGAGTTCCAGAGGCAACCAGTCAATGTGTCTCTCTCACATCTCTCTCTTTCCCCTTCCTCCCTCTCTTCCTTCCACTCTCTCTAAAAATCATTGGAAGCTCTAGCCAGTTTGGTTCAGTGGGTAGAGTGTCAGCTGTGGACTGAAGGGTCCTGGGTCAATTTTGGTCAAAGGCACATAACCTCAGTTGTCTGCTTGATCCCTGGCCCTGGTCAGGGTGTGTGCGGGAGGCAACCAGTCGATAGTCTCTCTCTCACATCAATGTTTCTCTCTCTTTGTTTCTCCCCCTCCCTTCCACTCTTTCTAAAAATCAACGGGAAATTATCCTTGGGTGAAATTTAACAATAATAAAAAGTCCTATTTTTCTTCATATCATTGTGTTTACTAACTATTGCAAACCAATGTGTACTATTTTTTGGTGAGTTAAAAAATGCCCAGCCAGAGTGGCTCAGGTCCCATGAACCAGGAGTTCATGGCTGGATTCCCAGTCAGGCCACATGCCTATATTTCTGGCTTGGTCCCCTTTGGGGGCTGTGTAGGAGGCAGCCAATCCCTTTCACATCAATGTTCCCCTCTCTTCCTTCTCTCTCTCCATTCCTCTCTCTGAAATCAAATTTTTTTTTTTCAGGGAAAACAATAAAAAATGCTAGATTTAGATTTGTAGTACTAATAGAGTTCCTTTTTAGTTTAATATTTCAATAGTAGAAATTTTTTCAAAAATAACTGTAATGAAGTCAATAATAGAAGTATGGGTAGCATATAACCCTTGGAACTAGACTGTTGGGTAGAGGTTCACTCTCCCATAATTTAAAAGTGGGTACACAACTGCTCACATGGAGCCTACATTATGTGGCCTTCCCCTTTATGGTTAAATTGTAGCCAATGGGATATAAGTGGAAATGATACATGTGATTTCTGAATCGTGCCTTAAAAGTCCTAGGGCATGCTACAGATGATGTATTATAGAATTGCACACCTGAAACCTATATAATTTTATTAACCAATGTCACCCTACTAAACTTTAATTGAAATTCCTGGGGCATGCATTTCTTGCCCCTGTCTCCCATTTCTTCCGTGGGTTGTGGAAGTGAGAGTGTTAGCAGTCATTTCAGATGCCACAATGGAAGCTGTGTGTCAGGATGGCAAAGCAGCCATGTCAGCCCTGGACTAACACCTCTACTGTAATTTGAGAGAGAAATAAACTTACATCGTGTTTAAGCTACTGTATTTTGGGTATCCTTGCTAAAGCAACTTAGTCTGTACTAAACCTAATTAAGGGATAGATGAGTTTCTGAACACAAAAGAGTTAGACTTGCCTAGGAAGGGAAAGTGGATGGAAGTGTTGGTTCAATTGCCCATTCTGCATCACAGGCCTCAGGAAGGAACATCTGTACAATACCAAAGAAAGATTCTTCTTTGGGCAAAGGTCATTGAACCTGAGTTGGCTATTTGACCTTGGACAAGTCACTTAAACTTTATCTGACCTTAAAATAAAAAGATTGAAGCCCTTGCAACTGTGGCTCAGGTTGGTTGAATGTTATCCCTTGCACCGAAAGGTTGCTGGTTCGATTCCCAGGCAGGGCATATGCTCAGGTTGTGGGCTCAATCCCCAGTAGGGGGCATTCAGGAGGCAGCCGATGGGTCGATGTATTTGCTCTCACATTGATGTTTCTCCCTCTTCCTTTCTCTCAAAGTCAATTAAAAAAAAAAAAAGTCTTTAAAAAAACATTGAGACAATGAAAACACAACAATCCAAAATCTATGGGACACAGCAAAAGCAGTTTTGAGAGGGAAGTTCATATCCTTACAAGCCTATTGCAAAAAACTAGAAAAAATAGTAACAGATGATCTAACTCTACAACTCAAAGAGTTAGAAAAAGAGCAACAAAAAAAGCCCAGTGTAAGCAGAAGGAAGGAAATAACAAAAATCAGAGCACAGATAAACGACATAGAGACCAAAGAAACAATACATAAGATCAACAAAACCAAGAGCTGGTTCTTTGAAAGGATAAACAAGATAGATGGACCTCTAGCCAGGCTAACCAAGAAACAAAGAAGACCCAAATAAACAAAATCAGAAATGAAAGAGGTGAAATAACAACAGACTCCACCGAAATACAACAGATTGTTACAAAATACTACAAACAACTCTATTCCAACAAACTGAACAACCTGGAGGAAATGGACATATTCCTAGAAAAATACAAACTGCCAAAACTCAATCAGGAAGAATCTAAAAATCTCAATAGACCAGTGACGTGGGAAGAAATTGAAACAGTCATACGAAAGCTTCCAGCAAACAAAAGCCCAGGGCCAGATGGCTTCACAGGAGTGTTTTACCAAACATTCAAGGAAGAACTAAAACCTATCCTCCTCAGACTATTCCAAAAAATCCAAGAGAAAGGAACACTTCCAAACTCCTTCTATGAAGCCAGCATCACCCTAATACCAAAACCAGATAAAGACAACTCAATGAAAGAGAATTACAGGCCAATATCCCTCATGAACATAGATGCCAAAATCCTCAACAAAATTCTAGCAAATCGACTCCAGAAGAACATCACAAAGATCATACACCATGATCAAGTAGGATTTATTCCAGGAATGCAAGGATGGTACAATATCCACAAATCAATAAACGTGATACATCACATTAACAAATTGAAAGATAAAAATCATGTAGTCATATCAATTGATGCAGAAAAAGCATTTGATAAAATCCAATACCCTTTCCTGATAAAAACTCTTAACAAGGTGGGAGTACAAGGATCATACCTCAACATAATAAAAGCTATATATGATAACCCCACAGCCAACATTATACTCAATGGGCAAAAACTAAAACCATTCCCTCTAAGAACAGGAACAAGACAGGGATGCCCACTTTCGCCACTCCTGTTTGACATAGTTCTGGAAGTACTAGCCATTGCAATTAGACAAGAGGAGGAAATAAAAGGCATCCAAATTGGAAAAGAAGAAGTAAAGTTATCCTTATTTGCAGATGACATGATATTGTACATAAAAAAAACAAAAGTCTCCATTAAAAAACTAATTGACTTAATAAATGAATTTGGCAACGTAGCAGGATACAAAATTAATGCCAAGAAATCCATGGCATTTCTATACACCAACAGTAAAACTACAGAAACAGAGGCTAAAAAAGCAATTCCATTTACCATCGCACCAAAAAAATTAAGATACCTAGGAATAAATTTAACTAAGGAAGTAAAGGATCTATTTGCAGAAAACTACAAGACACTGAAAAAAGAGATAGAGGAAGATGTAAGGAGATGGAAGAACATACCATGTTCATGGATTGGTAGAATCAACATCATAAAAATGTCCATACTTCCTAAAGCAATCTATAGGTTCAATGCACTCCCCATTAAAATACCAACGACATATTTCACTGACCTAGAAAGAACTCTCCAAAAGTTCATTTGGAACAATAAAAGGCCCCGAATAGCCACAGCAATCCTGAGAAAGAAGAGTAAAGTAGGAGGGATCTCAATACCAGACTTCAAACTATATTACAAAGCCACTGTTCTCAAAACAGCCTGGTACTGGCACAAGAAGAGACATATAGATCAATGGAATAGAATCGAGAACCCAGAAATCAACCCAAATCACTATGCTCAATATTTGACAAAGGAGGCACGAATATACAATGGAGTCAAGACAGTTTCTTCAGTAAATGGTGTTGGGAAAATTGGACAGACACATGCAAAAGAATGAAACTAGATCGCCAACTTACACCATTCACAAAAATTAACTCAAAATGGATACAGGACTTAAACATCAGACGGGAAACCATAAAAATACTAGAAGCATCCACAGGCAGCAAAATCTCAGACATATGCCAAAAGAACTTCTTCACTGATACTGCCCCTAGGGCAATGGAAGCTAAAGAGAAAATAAACAAATGGGACTACTTCAAAATAAAAAGCTTTTTTACAGCAAAAGAAACCATCAACAAAACAATAAGAAAGCCCACGGTGTGGGAGAACATATTTGCAAATAATACCACTGATAAAGGTTTAATCTCCAACATTTACAGACAGCTTATACAAATAAATAAAAGGAAGATGAATGATCCAATTAAAAAATGGGCAATGGACCTAAATAGAATATTTTCAAAAGAAGACAGAAGGAAGGCCAAAAGGCACATGAAAACATGCTCAAAGTCACTAATTATCCAAGAGATGCAAATAAAAACAATGCGGTACCATCTCACACCTGTCAGAATGGCCAACATCAATAAATCGACAAATGACAAGTGTTGGCGAGGTTGCAGAGAAAAAGGAACCCTCATGCACTGCTGGTGGGAATGCAGACTGGTGCAACCACTGTGGAGAACAGTGTGGAGTTTCCTCAAAAAACTGAAAATGGAATTCCCATTTGACCCAGTAATCCCTCTTCTAGGAATATATCCCAAGAAACTAGAAACAGCAATCAGAAAAGATATTTGCACCCCTATGTTCATAGCAGCACAATCTACAATAGCCAGAATTTGGAAACAGCCTAGGTGCCCGTCAGCAGATGATTGGATTCAAAAAGTATGGTACATCTACTCAATGGAATACTATGCTGCCATAAAAAAGAAGGAATTCTCTTCATTTGCAGCAACCTGGATGGAATTGAAGAGCATCATGCTGAGTGAAATAAGCCAATCAATGAAGGAGAAACACCACATGACCTCACTCATTGGTGGATGATAAAGATCA